CTTGGAAGCAAGTTGCTGGCTGAAGGGGGCACTCTGTAAATCTGGAATTTCACATGACCTCATCGATAAGCCCTGTGAACAAGTGCTTCGTTTTGAAGTTATGATTCAGAATTGAGGTGGGATGACATTGATAAATATTTTTAGAGTACAAGTCAGGGTGCTGGTCCAGGGCCTGGGAGAAGCCGCTTTACCTGTGAAAGTCACAGTGTTCTCATTCATTATTCTGTTCTCTGCAAAACACTCAGGGTGCTTCCAATAACCGATTCTAGTCATTACAGCTGCTGCCTGGCATCTCGACTTAGTCAAAGTAGATTCTGGTGTCTCTCACATTAACGCTAAAAGTAAATTCCTTCATTCTGTAAGATTTTCTCAAGAGGTTCCTCAACAGACTAGTTCCAAAACTATGACTGCAGCCCACAAGTGTCATATATGAAGGTTAATCTGATAAATATATATATGTGTGTGTGTGTATGTATACATACACACATCTCCTCCCCCCACACATATACAATAAAACTTCCAAAAAGTTTGTAGGAAAAAATGGAATTAAGAGATAATGGGATTTTCCCACAAACTCTTTGAATCCACGTAATGATACAACTTTGGGTATAAAGCATCTTCTACAACCTCTTCGCCACAAAAAAACCAAACCAGCCCAAACCTAAAAAACAGACATGCAGGGTTTATCATAAGCAACATGATTGAAGATTCAATTACGCAGCTGGGTAGTTACTGAAAAGCAGTACCTTTTAATCAATAAGGGGAATAGACTACACCCTGATAAAACGACTAGTTATATTAATTATCAACGATCGGGGCTGCTTCCCAGGATACACTCTTACCCCACACTTTGAATTCTTCGCCCGGTTCTTCTCATTTGCTGCCAAGGATGCACTTTCTCTAGCTAGAGAAATCTGGAACCTTGAGGCCAGACCTTTGTTTAATTACCCACCAAGCACACAAACATCCTTACAGCATCTATTTCTTAAGCTAAAACCCGGTTACTGGGGGTCGTGGCCGTGAAACAGAAGCGTCTCGTCCCTGCCTGATTGATTGTGCGCTCCACGGAAGACCAAAAGCCAAAGTCAAAGGGGCTGCGCAGCGGTCCGAGCCCAGGCCCGACCCCAAAGGCCATCCTTGCTCCGTCCAGGGCCTGGATGGGCTCAGATTCGGAGACCCTTAGACATGCCCTCGCCGGACAGCTTCTGCTTCTCAAAACGAAAAGCACTCGGGATGTACTTCCACACACGAAGATCCCGCGGTCTGAGCGCCACCAAGCGCCCCGCCCCCCCAACGATGTCGGCCGGTCCCACTCCCGGTGGAGCGGCACCATCCGCACCGCACCGCACCGCCCGGGATCGCGGGGTGCTGGCAACCTTACCCTGGTTTCGCTTTCGCTGAAGACATCACTGTTTGCCACGCAGGCAATCAGCGAGCTAAAGCTGTAGTTAAAGTTTCTAAAGTGCATCTTGCTTTCTGACAGTGAGAGGGCCCGGGGCCCGGCGGAGACAATCCCGAGTGAGGTTCTTTTAGGAGGAGCTGCCGGTTCCGGCCGGAGCCCCAGCTTATAAAGCGCCCAAGCCCGGCCCCTTGGGGGAAGGAGCGCCGCCGCTTCCAGGGCGTCCTGTTTGGACAGCAAATTCCTGAGTCAAGTCCTGCATGCTTGCAGGCAGACCGTCTGGCACAGAGCGCGAGTCTATTGGAAAGAGGTGACGTCAGCACCTGAGTCACTTTCCCTATGCTAATTAACTCTGCTTGGGGAGGATGGAAAAAGCTGCAGGGAGAGGTTTGCTTCGCAGCTGCTTTATCAAGCCCTCTTGCAGCATAATTTCCACTGGGAGTAATTCCATGCAGTGCTCAGGCGGCATGCTCCCCGCTGAGCCGGGCACCCTCCTTGGGCCAAGGTCCCCCCCAGTAAACAGTTAGTAGAAACAATTAGCCCTTAGAAATGGCCTGGGGCAGTTTCAGGCTTTGGGAAACCTGGAGACCAAAGTCTTGGCGACTTGTTTAATCCTTGCGATTTCCTGAAAGAAAACAACAACAACAACAAAAGAAGTCCAGGAAAGTTTGAAACTGGGGAACTGCAGAAAAACATTTTGAAATCTTGTCTGGGTTAATGACCTCTGGTTTTTAAAGAAACAAAAAAGTGGAATTAGTTTGGAAATAGCATCTTTGTTTTCTTCCCCTTCAATTCAACTTCCCGGGATGAATGGCCCTATTCCCACTTGTAGGCCACAGTCTTCTTATGGGATGGTGGGAAGAGCTCCTGACGCAATCCTGGAGTTCTCATTTGAGAACTTCATGACTGTTAGTTAAGCTGGGAACTGGGCCTGTGCGATTCACTTTGACCATCTTCTGAGAGCTACTGAACGTGGGCTTTGGACACGTTATCAGGAGAGACCAGTGCCTGGAGACGGACGTCATGCTTGGTAATGCAGGGGGGGGCCTGGACAAGATGGATGGACACAATGGGCACAAGCACCGGCTCAAGCAGAAGAACAGTGGCGAGGGTGGCGCAGGGTCGGGCAGTGTTCTGCTCTGTTCTGTTGTAAATAGGGGCCATGAGTCGCAACTGATTCGATGGCACCTAACTACAACAACACTGAATGTAGGCAATCGTCCAGAAAACGTTTTAGGGAACCCAGCTTCCAAAGGTGAGACAAGAAACCCTGGACGGTCCTGTTCCCTGAGCAACTGGTAAAGAAAAGGTTTCCCTCTCCCTTTAACCCAATAGGCACAGCAGCGAGCGAGAGAGCGAGAGAGCGAGAGAGCGAGAGAGCGAGAGAGCGAGAGAGCGAGAGAGCGAGAGAGCG